TTTTCCCCCCCCCCCCCCCCCGGTGCATCTGTTGAATCTCTGTCGAACCTCCTACAGTTGCCACCTACACCGTCTTGATTCGCAGTGGCTTGTTTCGGAGTAAAAACTTTTTGACTTTCACGCTTTTCACCGTGTTATTCCACGGCACCCCTTATATGGATATAACCTTGCTTTCGTGGGTCTTCCGCTGACGCCGTTTTTTTCCGGGAGCCACAACCGTACAGTATATGCAGTTTGCTTGGCCGTTTAGTTGATAGAGTAAGTTCCCATCCCTTCCATCGCTTCATCCCTGGGGGTATTCTTGTATTCCCGCACTTTCCGTAAAGGGCGGTACTTTCGACATGCCGATCCCACCTCTCTTCCGCTCTTCATTGATTGTTGAGTGTAGCAATTAATTTTTTTTTTCAAGTAAGAGTTTGCCGTTCCCGCTGTACTATTTTGTTCGTCGCTGCCACCGCCTGTGTTGTGTAAGCTTGGCCATCACGCCTTTGTTGGTTTTGGGTGTGCCTATTCGAACTACGTAGAATATCAACTGCAATCCGGCCGTTCACCACAAGTTTATTCGCGTGCGCTGCCTGTCCTCTTTCTTGGTCGCCGTTCGCCACGAACCCGGGTTGTCGTGGTTTTGTGCTTCAACGCCACCCAGTTGATCTTTGATCTGTTTGAGGATGAAGACTACCACAAGGTGGACGTCCAAGTCAAGGTCGAGGCGTGTGAAGACGCAACCCAAACGGCAACGTGCTATGTATGGTGAGCGAGAGATGTGAGAGGCTTGATTCGCTACTGGCAAGCAGCGTTCTGTAGTGGAACCCCAGACTGAGCTGCCCCCTGGAGTCATGTCTGATTGGTACTGCCGTTCCCTTGGTGATTTCTTGACCTCCCTACGTCCGCTGTCCGGTGCTTTGTTTGGTGCCGCTCGCTGTTGGATGTGTAGCTGTGGCGTTCACGGGATCTCTTGCTCAGCGATATTCTTTTGTTTGTCCACGTGATGTCGTAGACTGATGGGCAGTACTACATTGGACGGTCTCACACAAGAGACCTCCCCGCTCTGGTCAGATATTTTGGGGTACGTGCCTAGAATGCTACCACATTCTTACCACGGGGAGATGGTTAATCTAGTGAAATCAACAGATTTTGTCGAGCTAAGCCGGGTGCAGATGGTCGAACAATTGTGAAGGTGGCAATAGCAACAGCAGCCGACCTTGTGCGATTCCCTCATATGTCCGCCGCTTCTTGTACCCGTTGCCCTGTATGGTAGGAACGCCTCAGCGGAGGACCAACTGTACGAGACTTGGGAACCAACGAGACACTTCACAGAGGATGGACCCGTCCCTGACTATGTCGCCATGGTGGAACGGTTCTCCAAGGAGATTCAAGAAGAAGGCCTGCTGGAAAACACATCTACTGCTGTTGATGTTGCTGCGTAGCATTGTTATGCTCAATCTGAAATATTATGGCATCCTGTACCTTGCGGGACTCCCTGCTCGCCGCACGAAAAATAAGGTTTTCAACGTACTTCGGGGGACTAGGACATGGCGGGGGGGGGGGGGAGGGGGGCATCGACGACGAAACGTCTGGAGACGGAGATTGGGATACATGCGTAGACTACTAGTCTATGTGGCATCGGTAGGGAGAGTTCTACGTTTGGTTTGGTATTGAGGCTGAATATTTGCTACTACGTACAAGTACTCCCTACAGTAGATTGGCGGCACACCAACTAGCATCATGTTTCCGCTGGATGCCTTCCAACTCCCCATGGGGAGCGCGATCGGGGGAGGGGAGGGGGGGGGAGCGCTACCCCGAACAAAATCGGTTTCTCTGTTCGCTCTGAGCGTTACGTGCCTGGTCTGCGCATCCACATTAAGTCCTGTCTACGCATCAGATACGTCCATAGTAGCACCAGTCTCTTGTCCTTACTACAGCAGTGTTGAAAAGGACAAGTAATGCCGAGGTGTGATGTTCTTACCGAATCCATGGGTGGAACAAATCTATAAGCTTGCAAGCGGCTTCAGGGTGCTCATGAATTCCCTTTGCGCGGCCCGAACCCAGCCCAGCATTCAGCCATGGCAGCGCCTCTAGCGCCTCTTTCAGTAGGCTCGCGTACACGTGGAAACCGACTGAATTTCCAAAGTCGACCGATCGTACACGACGGTGCTACTTGCAAGTCGATGTGCTTGGTGTGCTGCTTGGTTTTTTCCTCGACAACGTGTACGCTGGACAACGTGTACGCTGCTGTTATCTTAGCCTCTTTTCTTCGATAGAGATGGATTCGTTGGGTCATACTCCCTCCGTTCCCATATATAAGCGTGATTTGGGTTTTCCGAAAATAAGCGTGGTTTGCACTACATGCTCCAAAATAAGTCGTTAGGTCATTGTGGGACGTCGGACAACTTCGGGATGTAATTACATATCACATTGGACGAAAAAAAAAAATGTTCCGGTCACAAAGGGAGGGGATGATCCGTTGTCATCCCCTGGTTGGTGAAATCGAGGAAAATCAAGCATAATTGTACCCAGCCACGGGAGAAACGAACTGCGGGTGCCAAATGATTCATGGCCGCATTCAAAAAACAAACTCCCGGGCGTATTTATGGCAGCACCACCCCGTTTTTCGAATGGGATAGCTCGGACATTAAGCTGGGGAGGGGCGGGGGTCAAGTTGGCGTGCGGACAGCAGCAGTAGAATCGCCGCCAAGGTGGTGTTAAAATGTCGCTTTTACAGCAGTAGTGCTCGCACAAGCTTAACACTCATACCCCGTTGTTCACCATGCATTGCATTCTTCATAGCATTTCCAAATGTATTTGCTCCTTCATAAACATCCTTGACGCCACAACTGCTGTACGTTTACAATCTGCCACCGCCCTCGTCTGCCTCACTCAGCGGACAAAAAGAGTGTCCAACGCGAAACGCGGTGCTCCTTTCTGCTACACGCAACACGTACACGACATTCTGCCAAAAAAAGGTGCACGGACACCGAAAGCAAATAACTACCCGCCCGCCCCATTCTACACAGCTGCCCCTTGCCCCTCTCCCGTCGAGCTGAGCCCTTGGCTGCCTTGAACGCACCATACGGCAAAACCCCGTTCTTGCTGCCAGTGAGGAGGTGCCGAATCACCTCCTCTTTTTCTGAATTGTTGAAATTCTTGCGTTTTGCCACCTGGGAGGCCCTCCCAGCAGCAGACATCCCTCACCAGGAGATGAGAAGGCTTTTGGGCGGAGGTTCAAAGTTGGGGTGGTGATTTCGAGCAACTTCTGCTGGGGTAGGACACACCTTTTTGGTTGGTTTGAAAAAAAGCACCGGTTCTGCGCGCCCCGCGCGAGCGCGGCGAAACCAAGGAAAAAAACGGTTCGGACATGACAATGAGTAAAAATTGACCAAGATAGACCGCATCACGCTTATATATAGGAACGGAGGGAGTATTATTTATTGATGACAAAAAAATAAAGCCGCGGCATCGTTGACCTCCACAAAGCCTGGCTGACACCTCCGTATAACAAAAAGTACTTGTAGAAAAACCCTGGCGAGGGTGTTATGCGCGTCAAGCAAACATACACGATGACTCTCCAGCTGTGATACGTGTTCTGAGTTCTGAGTACATTGTACGAGACAGAGGATTCGAAAAGAACGTCGGGATCGTTCTTCAGGAGCGTTCTTTGGTTCTTGGGGAATGTGAAGAACCTTTTTTCGAGAAGCTCCGTCTCTCTCTCCCTCGCCTGCCCATGCTGTAACCTCCCCAACACAACTCCCAACATCGATGAACACCATCAAACACAACAACAACAACCGCAACAACACCGACAAGACGATGACTACCTCTTCCATCAAGATTAACTTCCAGGGCACTTCACGCAACGTGAATGTTCAGGCTCCGTTTACGCTCGCCAGCCTCCAAGCGACCATCGCCGCCGCCTTCGATGCTGAGCTGCCTGTCCGCTCCCCCGCTGGAGAGGCCACCAAGGACACCGACCTGTCCTTCACGTACAAGGATCCTGATGGGGACGACATCGTGTTCGACAAGGATTCTGAGCTGAACCTGGCCGTGCGCCTGTGCCCGGACTCGCTCGAGATCTCGGCTGCCGGCAAGGAAAACAAGGTGAGCGACGAGTCGGGAGACGAAATAATCACGGTGTAGCCGAGGGTGCAATTTGCGCGAGCGGGCACACATACTAGTAGGGCGCAGGTTTCGATGCCGTAACGGTTAACTAATCGTGCTGCGATCCTCATGTCCCGTGCTCGCGCTGCTCCATTCGTTTTAGAGATGGTCTTGTTTTTGGTTGCTTGTTTTGGTGAGCGAGACTTTGGATGTGAATCGAAGTTCTTCGGCCCCAAATCTCGGGTTTATGTCTCTCAGCTGTCGACGCCTCTTGTGTTGAGTTGGTCTCCGTGTCGACCTTCCCCGTCTTACTTTCATCACCTGCCGAGAGGTATCATTGATCATGTGGTGTCACCCGATACGATATGGTATCGTCCGATACGATGTGTGGCGATTGTCTCTATCGTAGACTGCCTTCAAAACTCGATACAATCGGTCTGACGGTGTGTAGACTATAGAATAATATGCTTCTACACGTAGGAACGAGAAACAATCTTCTGTACACATATGCATGCACTGCTGCCGTGCTGTTTTTTTCTGTGCACAGCATCAGCGTACATCAACAGCATCAGCGTAGGTAGAGTCTGGTGCTTTAATTCCGTGCAAAACTATGACAAAAAAAATATCCACCGATCCTTTTATCTCCAACCCCCTCACATATCACATTTTTGCTGAACGTTAACCGCCCTCATGTCAACGTTATGTGTGTGCACAGCAGTCAGTCATACCCGCCTTTCTCGGTGATCAAATGCTATTCGACCTGATTTTTTTGTTTTCGTTGTCGGCATTTTCGCATGGAAATGTCTTCGTCGTTCTTGTTGCTGTTTCCAAAGTTGGCTCCGTTTTACCTGTACCGCCAAGAATTCCTTTTCCCCCACAACCGCACCCCGCTGAATCCCCCCTTGCCTTTCCTTCGCCACCCTGTGCACCTCTTCTCTCTTTCCTCGTCACATGAAACCTCAGCCTGATAACAAGCCCGACCCCGAAGGGAGGCTGTACAAGATTGCCGCCCGTAACCTGCGCGAATACAACGGCGTGCCCTCGATGACGGCGCCCAAGCTCATCAAGACCCTGGCTTTCCTCAAGCTGAACCCGCGACGGCTCGTGAAGCAGGGCCTCGCTCCCAAGAATCTTTTGGCTCGCATGAAGGCCGAAGCCGCCAACAACATGAAGGTATCGAAGGTTACTCTTGGTGACGGCGAGAACAACGAGGATCTCGCCGAGTCGGTCGCGGCCGGTATGGAACTGATGAGCGTGGAGGACGACAAGAAGGAGTGCAACAACGGCTTCGTGTCCGCCAAGCCGGACGCGTCTGCTGCCGCGGTGCCCATCACCGCCAAGACGTCCTCCCCCGACAACGATAACGAGGAGGAGAACGACGACGCTGCGCCTGAGGTCAAGAAGAATCTCATCCACACGGCCTTCATCGCCGGCGGCATCCAGCTCCGCCCTCGCGAGGTGCGGCCCCTGCTCGTCGCCCTGGACGTCCGCCCCTGGCGGCTGGCCAAGCTCGGGCTCGTCAACGGCAAGTATCTCCGCGCCATGCTCCAAGCTGAAACGAAGGCCGCCCACAAGCGCCACGGCCATGACAACAACAACGATGACACCGCCGCCCTCCACCACCGGCGCCACCACCACCGCGACTACCACCGCCAGCAGCACCGCATGACCAGCCGCCCCCACCCCTTCGCCCCGCC